CATTACCAGAGCAACATTTCAAAACGGTCATATCAAGATTATTATAGATATTCACCAGTATGTCCGACTTTTTGTAAAGAAATGTAAAATGGTGTGAATAATATTTCCAGGATCTATGAGCAAATGAATGTTATTGTCCAGAAGATAATTGCAAGAATCGAAAGATTAAAAGACCTGCAGCGAATGCTTTTTTTTGTCCTTGAACAAAATGTTCACTGTTCCGAATTAATTACTTTGGTTGGAAAGCGAAGTTAAAGTTTAACCCCGAACGGTTCAAAAGTCAAACATTATGCCAGAAATCATAGGAGTAAACCGAATATATTTATGTATAAAAATTACCATATACATATATGAATGGGTTATATGTTATATGAATGTGTTAAAATTCATTTGGAAACAATTCGCAATTTGTTTGAATCAATACCCCTGAATACCTACACTATAGGCCTACTAAAATATATTTCGTTAATATCTCAGGTGCTTCCCTCATTTTGTCTAACACTTGCTTGTAACATCAGAAAGATAATTTCATGATGGATTCCATGAATTATTTTACTTGAGTTTTTTTTTCTTTCCAAACTTGGTTGCCAAACAAAGAATATATTTATACTAAAATTAGAATCGCTTTCAACGTTCATATCTTCCCTTTTCTTCCAAAAACACCCGTTAGTCTGTAGCCGTGGCTGGCCTCACGCTGGCCTCACGCTGGCCTCACGCTGGCCTCACCGCGTCCAGGTGTGCGGCCTCTCAGGCAGGAGCTCAGCCTCCCGTTAGTCTGTAGACGTGGCTGGCCTCACGCTGGCCTCACCGCGTCCAGGTGTGCGCCTCTCAGGCAGGAGCTCAGCCTCCCGTTAGTCTGTAGACGTGGCTGGCCTCACGCTGGCCTCACCGCGTCCAGGTGTGCGCCTCTCAGGCAGGAGCTCAGCCTCCCGTTAGTCTACACTTGCGATCGACGGAGTAAAGAAGGTCCACTGCAGGGCACACTCACAGCAATAAGTGAGATTTTGACCGCATAAAGAAGCACTTTTTGTTCTTGTTAGGGTCATGCTAACCCAGCGTAGCCCGAGAAAATGGCGAATTAGAACTACGTGCAGAAAGTCTGTTAGTAATTGGACAGTATTACTCATGCATTTTCCTGAGTGGAGTCGAATCCGTTGTTCAATTAGACTTCGAATACGAAAAAAGTTCGATTCCGTAATGCTTGAATTTTTTAATGCCAGGCCGATGGTGATCAACAGCCTAATTTTCCAGTGGATGGTGGGAAACATTTAGTGTGCAAAATTTAAGCTCAGTAAAAGCTTAAAAGTTTACTTGAGAAATTACTAAGAACATTTTCAAGCAAAAGTGAAATAAAATATTATATTTACTTAGAAAATGCCAATATATTTCAGAGAAATTTTCGTTACGTGAAAATGTTCTTTACGATGTGGGGGTACAGTGGTAATTCTATAAAATTATCAGACATTATCTTCGTGAATTTATTTCCGACGGCAGCTGATTGTCTAAGGCAGATCTGCAGTTATGAATTAATGATTGAGCTCTCGAATGAATGCTTTTCTAAATAAGCCGTTCTCAAATTATATCAAGCCAATTAACAAATTATCGAGCATAGTTGGGAAATTACACATAGTTTGAATATTGATATCGAGCAATTTGATACCTTATTCTGCAAAAATTATTAATTATTCTAGCATAAATAATACTTAATACAACACTTTAACTTCACTTCTTGGGAAGTGAACACTTCTTCACTTACTTCTTAAAACTTTTTGACTTCACTTCTTGTTTGTTTGTTAGTATGTCTGCCACAAATCTTATAATCAATATTTAACACACTTCTACCATTCCCATCGATCTGAAATTTTGCACACTTGCGTAAAGTTGGAGACAATGCATGAATCAGTTGACAGAATATATAATTTCAAAATTTGATTTTTTTTCAGTATTAAAAAAATCGAAAAAATAATTTTGTCTGCTACAAATATTATAATCAATATTTAACACACTTCTACCTGTCCAATCTATCTGAAATTTTGCAGACTTGCGTAAAATTGGAAAAATGCAATGAATCAATTGACAGAATAAAGAATTGTAAAAAATTAATATTGAAAAAAATTGAAAAATAATTTTGTCTCCAACTAATCTTATAACCGATATTTAACCCATTTCTACCTGTCCAATCGATCTGAACTTTTAAACTCTTGCGTTAAGTCGGAGAGAATGCATGAATCAATTGACAGAATAAATAATTTTGAAATTTTTTTTTATATATTAAAATAATTGAAAAATTATCATTTATTTAATATTCAAAAATGTATATTGGAGACACTGAATTCTTTAGAAGGGTTGGCTTTAAAAAGTAATTTTTAAACGTTTTTTATTTTAAAATTAAAGCCGCCAAAGTTACTCTTCCACTGAGTGCTTTTCGATGTGTAAGAGCACGAAACTGTCTCAGCCACTTCCTCTTGTTTTCTACAGATGACAGATTTGCGGCGTCATATCCATTGATCCAGCAGCTTATTTTCCAAGTCTGTTTATGATTCACGCGCGCAGCGATCATAAGATCGACACTTTGCGGTTGCATTCATGTCACGGTCGCGGTGTGAACCAGTCCAGAAAACCCGGTTCATGTTATCCAAAAATGTTAACACATCTTTCTCTATCATGTAATTAAAACGAACCGTAAATTCCGAGCGTTTATATTTCCGCTTGAAATTGAGACTATTACAAAAATTTATACCCATGTTAAATCCCGCATTCATTTACCTTTCCATGATTGAATAAAACATTATTTGAACCATTATAAACAGATAATTATTCACCAGTTAGTTAATCAGTTAGTTTACCAGTTAGTTTACCCGTTAGTTTACCAGTTAGTTGGCCAGTTAGTTTACCAATTAGTTTATCAGTTAGTTCACCAGCTAGTTTACCAGTTAGTTTACAGTTAGTTTACCAGTTAGTTTACCAGTTAGTTTACCCGTTAGTTTACCAGTTAGTTGCCAGTTAGTTTACCAATCAGTTCATCAGTTAGTTCACCAGCTAGTTTACCAGTTAGTTTACCAGTTAGTTTACCAGTTAGTTCACCCGTTAGTTTACCAGTTAGTTTACCAGTTAGTTTACCAGTTAGTTTACCAGTTAGATAATTAGTTAGTTTACCAGTTAGTCTACCAGTTAGTTTACCAGACCAGTTAGTTTACCAGCTAGTTTACCAGTTAGTTCACCAGTTAGTTTACCAGTTAATTTACCAGTTAGTTTATCAGTTAGTTCACCGGTTAGTTTACCAGTTAGTTTACCAGTTAGTTTACCAGTTAGTTTATCAGTTAGTTTACCAGACCAGTTAGTTTACCAGCTAGTTTACCAGTTAGTTTACCAGTTAGTTTATCAGTTAGTCTACCAGTTAGTTTACCAGTTAGTTAACCAGTTAGTTTACCAGACCACTTAGTTTACCAGCTTGTTTACCAGTTAGTTCACCAGTTAGTTTACCAGTTAGTTTACCAGTTAGTTTATCAGTTAGTTCACCGGTTAGTTTACCAGTTAGTTCACCGGTTAGTTTACCAGTTAGTTTACCAGTTAGTTTACCAGTTAGTTTACCAGTTAGTTTACCAGTTAATTTGCCTAATCCTAACCTCCACCTTGTCTCGTATAATGCTAGCCTTCACAGATGAAATTCAATGAATGATACATTGCTAAATGAACGCAGGTGTCCGACGCACCTGTACTAATGAGCACTTAATCACTTGTTAATGAGTAGTCAACCACCTGTTATAAAAAAGCTGCGCAATAGATTTGTTCAAATTACATATATACACCGTCATTTCATATTGCTACTGCCTCATATTGCTACTGCCTCATATTGCTACTTACTCATATTGTTACATGCTCATATTGCTACTGCCTCATATTGCTACTTACTCATATTGTTACATGCTCATATTGCTACTTACTCATATTGCTACTTATTCATATTGTTACTTATTCATATTTTTACATACTCATTTTGCTACTTACTAAAATTGTTACTACTCATATTGTTACCATGTATATTGTTACATACTCATATTGTTACTTACTCATATTGCTACTGCCTCATATTGCTACTTACTCATATCGCCACTTACTCATATTGTTACTAACTCATATTGCTACTTACTTACATTGCTACTTACTCATATTACTACTTACTCACATTGCTACTTACTTATATTGTTACTTACTCATATTGAAATTTACGCATATTGCTACTTGCTCATACTGCTATTTACTCATGTTGGTACTTACTCATATTGCTACTTACTCATATTGCTACCTACTCTTATTGGCACTTACTCATATTGCTACTTACTAACACTGCTACTTACTCATGTTGCTACTTACTAATACTGCTACTTACTCATACTGCTACTTACTCATATTGGCACTTTCTCATATTGCTACTTACTCATATTGGCACTTACTCATATTGCTACTTACTTAGATCTCGCGCTATGTCATCAAATAGATCTTTGGTCTGAAGTTTACGTGTTCCCTCTTTCTGATCACGAAACTCTAAGTCGGCCTCGAAAAAAAGTAGTTTTCCCACAATTACGAGTGTATATTTTTAGTAAACATAGATCATTAAATTTGAGTACTCTGAAGTATAAAAATAAGACATTTCCATCGTATACATAAGATATTTCCATCGTATCATATACATAGCAAACGAAAATGCGCTATTAACGTCTTGAACTATAGGTGTGATTATTGTTTACTATGTAACATCTAGGGCAACTGAGAGGTAGGTATGTCGACCTCATGCAATCACGAAAAGCTGACACAAGTGTTCGGTATGTATACATTAATTGCTTTGGGGAACTGATATTTTAACACAATTTCATTGTGATACATTTGTGGTAAAACGTCATCATCTAATTTCCAATTCTCATTTCAGTCATACAAATTATAAAATAGTGTGCATGAATTCTATTCATCATGATACCGATATTTTTTGCAGATAAATTAATATAAAAACATATTTTTTTCAAGCTAGAATCCGTCAATAATTAGTTTACAAATTCACTGCAATTACCGGGCCCAGAAGCGAGTCTTCATTGTTCGTGCAACTATCCGCTCTTCGTACGTACGTGTGGCTGATGCAATTTTATCTGTATATTATAATAGCAAATTATAACCTAGAAATCAACGAATCAAAGTGCGATACTCTGCTGGTTACCAGAGAAGCCTCCCGGGCGATCTTCAATACTATGAGATAAAATCATTCATTGAAATAAAATGATCATAAATTTGTTCTACTTTTACACAATCATAACAGCTGATGTAATTGATAATTTTTTTAACTAGTGAAGAAAAAATATTTCTATTAGTGGGACTGCATTTCCATAACCGAGGAAGAAGATTTTCTTGTATTCCATGTGTAGAGCAAACTGCATGAATGCCTCGAGTGTTTCGCAATCAAATTATAAATAGCAGCCAAAAACACAGGAAGATGGCATAAAAACTGCCTTAGTGCTGCAAAGAGGGTAGCAACAGATGCAATTCTTTATCTGAAATTTATGTCAAACGCGAGTTTCAAAATTATTCCAGCAATCGTCCATTTATCGTCGATCCAAAGCGCGGTCATCCAAAGTTCATCCATTTTCTTTATTGTCGCAAAAAACTAACCGGGCCCTTGACCTTACAACAGAAACAGGGAAGATGGCGTACAAGGGACTGTTACGTATCAGGCGGAGCATCAACTGTCCCACACTCACTGCGGTGATCCTGATCACAATCACGCTTATGCACATCAATGGCACGTAAGTTGGCATATACAATGGTAGATTGTGCGCTATTTTTGTTAGCTTATTTGCAAAAAATATGTATTAGTGTGCGGCATTCAAAGTCGATTCATTTTTCAGATGGATGCTTAGAAGTGTGTGATGAATGTTCCTAATATCAGGCCCCATGAAGTAATAATTGTCTAATAATAAGTAATAATAATATTAATAAATAATAAAATATACAAAAATGTCCCTTAATATTATCGCTGTGAAATTGATACAGTTTTTAAAACAATTCTGTCAACTTTGATTCAAGTTTGTACGTATGTACAAGCATGAAATAAATACCCGATCGCCACGGTCGCAAGCGGCACCTGCAAACGTTGAATCAATGTTGACGGCGATAATAATTTCTCAGTGATATTATCACTGAGAAATCTATCATCAATCTATCAGTGATAATAGAGACATTTTTATAAATTTTTTAAAATCCATATCTTTCATTACACTTTACATCTGTTTTCTTGCAAGACTAATGATGTGGGCAAAATATGTGTAAACTTTACGACAGAAATTACCTAATCAATTTGACCCATCACACAAAATCTTTTATAGCAGATAATAGGTAATACTTTTTTATAGCAGAGACTAGGTAATAATCTTCATAATAGAGACTATATAATTGGTTTTATAGCAGAGACAATATAATAATCTGTATAACAGAGACTATGTAATAATCTTTTATAGCAGGGACTAGGTGATAATATTTGTAAAAGAAAATATGTAAAAATCATTATGGCAGAGACTAAGTATCAATCTTTAGAGATGAGACTAGGTAATAATCTCTTATAGCAGAGACTAGGTAATGATCTTTACCGAAGAGAAACTTGATAGCCTCAACAAGAAATTTCTATTTGATGTTGATTTGTCGTTAGTGTAAATTGCAGTTTTCCCCCAGCCAAGGTGAATAGGACTGATAAACCTACGATGCTGTAAATTAAAGCATTATAATATAAACCCATTTATGAGAAATCTCCTCCTAAATTATGGAATAAATAAGCTTCATAAAATATATATCAATTTTCCAATCCAATTCTATGAGCAGAATATTCCATGCTTGACACGCCTTATTTATTTGTATTTTATTTATTTATTATTATTATTTATTTTTCTACACGCCGTATGACAGTTGTTACATAAAGATTTGTTAAATTCTTCAGATCCAGACCGACTTTTGAGCCACCGCGTACAGTTTCAAGTGAGTGTTTCTGATGAATTCAAGAGACTCTCAAATTCAGACATGAAATACATGTATTACTGTAGTTCGGCAGAAGCTGTTGTTTAATACAAGATATACTCTCATTAAGATATACTATCAATAAGATAAACTCTCTGGTCTTCAATGGAATCTCTGGTCTTCTGGTACTAAAATACGTGTTTGTACATAAAAATGCCTTCGCCTAGATCGAAAAGTATTGAGTTGTCTATGAAACTGTAATGAAATATATCTCTCATTAGTATGAAAATTAACGGATTATATGTCGGTTTATAGCTGGGTTAATTGAATACAGGGAATCTCGTCTACTCATTGCAGTCAAGTCTCAAAATTAATTGATGATGAGCACAACATTGTTCAGACAAATTATGTGGCAGGACTAATTGTTCCATTCACATGTGACATTTTTTCTATATTGTTTGATGCTAACATTAACTACAAGGAAGCACACCCCAGTCAGCGTAGGGCTAGCAAGAAACCTTAGATTTTTATGTGATCAGATAAAGTAGAGATCCTCATTCTAGATTTTATTCATTCAGCCCGAGCTGTTGTGTTTAGAATTATTTACCTTCTTTCACCTAACAAATTAAAGGCATCACCCGCGTTCTGCAAACAAGCTAACCATTATGAAAAAATAAAGGAACCATTTCAAGGAATTAGAATAATTATAGTGAAAACTATCAATAATTTTTTTATCCAGGGATAATGAAATGTTTACTTGATTTCACTCCTCCCCCCCCCCCAACGACCCCACAGAACCCCAGCGTGACCAGCAGCATCGCCATATCGATGGAGCGAAAATTCGGGTCCCCGCTGATGGAACAAACGAAAACTTCAGTCTTCCTACCAAGAAGCCAATTTTGAACTGGGAAAATTTTTTCGATTACATAGAAGAGGCGGCTGGGTGTAATAATCTCGTGAGTAAAATAATAATTGATCTATTTCCTTATTGTATTGTTTAAGGAAGCTTAGTAGGTATATTGTATATTTGAAACGAAAGGGAGGGAATAAGGGATGAGTGGTGCAAAATAAGAGTCATTTGAAATATGTCATTTCTTCTCAACATATTTTTTTGCAATAAAATTAACTGACCGCAGAAAGTATAAAATCCCATATTTTAAATTTTGCAAGCACTTTTCAAGTGCCCATCAGCACAGAAATCTAAACTCATTGAAAATTTTTGCATATTTTTATTGCCAGCAAAGCCCCGTATATTCCCTTTACACTCACAGAAAATGTTTGGAGGAGCAGAACGCGGGCGTTCAGGTCAAATTGATGGCGACAAGGCCGTTTGTTTGGACACCAACGTCGCCCCCACTCCGGGCTCCTGCATCGTCCTCTCCTTTGGCATCAACAACGAGTGGAGCTTTGACGACGCCATGGAGCAATATGGCTGCAAGGTCAGCTTTGAGATAGATTGTATTAATTATTTAAGTAAATGAAGGGAGGAGTTGGAGCAGCGGGTGGAGCTTTGATGACACTAATGAGGAATATACGGCTGTACGGTGAGGGATGGAAGGAATTCAACGAATACGTAAGATTAGAATTGAAAATATTTTCTATTTTAGCAACGACTTCACGATTAAGATTTCCATTAATTGTCTTGTATAGTAACGATTATTGCATTGCACTATCATTAATTGTTGTAGATTTTCGAATAATTAACAATTTTTTCAACTGACCGTGGCAGGTGTACGCGTTTGACCCCACGATGGGGGAGCAGGCTTACCTCAGGGGAAGCAACATCCACTTCTACCCCTGGGCCTTAGGAGGCGAAACTGGGGTCGCAAAATTCAGGGGGAAAAATAGAACGGTAATGGGCCACTCTCCGTGCACCAGGCATATGACGTTGAAATACCAAGGATTAAAAGTTTTCTCGTTGAAATCAACTAGTAACCAATGTTGTTTCGACCTCATCTGACTCCAGGGTAGCCAGTTCTCAATAATGTATAAATGTGAACTTTGAACAATTTGAAAAATGACAAAGTCCACTGAATAAAAAGTAAAAATTTTAATGTAAAAACAATTCATATCCGTAAGTTGCAGATGAAGTTTCGAGATAAATTGAATAGTTTTTTTCAATTTGAACTAGATAGCAGGCAAACATGCATATGTCAAACTTTGATTCTTAAACGTTTTATCTCGAATTTTTGTTCCATTCATGATATATTTTTTGGATTCCACATGATCATTCAATTGTTGAACTTAGCTAAGGTTGCGTTCTGCTCGTTAGGCTGTAACGAGCTCGTTAGCTCGTTGTGACCTGGGCCCATACTTTCAAAAAAAGTTAAGAGATCGTAAGCCCATCAGCCAATCATTAACGGCCACGCAAGCAAAATCCACCAATCATAGACAAGAAAATAGAGCGTAAGTACTTACGTTCACATAGCGAGCTTTGAAAGTATCCACCAATCATAGACAAGAAAATAGAGCGTAAGTACACTTACGTTCACTTAGCGAGTTTTGAAAGTATGGCCCCTGCCAACTAAAATTCCGATGAATATGTATCTTCTGTCTGAGTCACTAGTATCAAATTTGTTCATCAGTTTATTATTTACTTACTTTTAATTCAATTATTACTTTCGTCTACACCCAATTATTAAATTAAAAATCTTTCACACCAAGCAGAATCATTATAGCAGAATCATTATATTGTCTTCTTTAATAGTGTTAATGTAGACTTCGTTGAAGTTCCTCATAGTATAGTATCTTCGGCATTGAAGAATAGGCCTGGATAGGCCTGTCGCCGATTCTTTTATTTTTCTTGACTAGACTGGTCTTTTGATCAAATCTTTTCAACGAACGGTAGGTTTAAATCGTTTCTAAATTTCAGTTGTTCCGTAGCATACGAGGCATTTGAAATGCCTTGTATCCTACGTATCCTCGTCTCCTCGGTGACTTTTGCCGAACGGAGCCTCGTGGCGAAATTCTTCTACCATTGATTCTTCATTAGTAAACACCAGGTCTAGAGTATTTGGAGTCTGATTACCTCTAAAATGGGTTGGCTTTGTCATGTGCTGGTATAAAAATGAGTCTCTCGCAGACTCCATGAACAAGGATGAAGGGTGATTCTTATCCCTTGGAGAGGATTCATGTGCCCAGTCTAGTTCTGGATGGTTAAAGTCACCAACGATCAACATATGCGACCTGCTGAAAGTCATGCTTGGTAGAAAACTGTTCAGTACTTTATCGTTATCAGGGGAACTGTTGGGTGATCTATACAGGACACCTATTAGGAGGCTATCCCTGCTTTTTAGAGAAAGCTCACAACACACTGATTCTCTAGCTGGTTGGTGCTCTTCTAATAACTTAACTTGTTGGGCCCCATAAAAGGTTCTAACCCACAGAGCTACACCTCTACTACACTGCTCTTCGTTTAAGTTATGAATGCAATCAAAACCTGGCAGCTGAAATTCAACTGGTACAATTCCCCCCCCGTGATTTAANAATTTTCCCCCGTGATTCTTAGGAAGTGTCTCTGTAATACAAATAATGTAAATACACTCGTTTCCGATCACAGTTAACAGTTCATTTCTTTTGTTCAAAACGGAATCAGAGTTCGTGTAGAAACATTTCAAAACTTTTTGTGCATTTTCATTTTGATGTACGAGTAAAATTTTTACCTTATTTACATAACTGCATTTATGTACATGATTTCCACTATTTAATTGTCTTCCATCTCCCCTGACTGTCGGTGAGCGGCGGAGTCCTCGTGAGATCTTGAATGTTGTTGACATGATTTTCCGTGCTTCTGCATGTTTCGCTCCTGCCATTTCTTGCGGAATTCCGCCCTCTCTAAAGGGTTGGAATCCTTCTTAACAAAAACAGATTTGAATTCAACAGTTTCTCGTGTTGGTGAACACTATAAGTTCTGAATGATCGGACAGATCTGCACATATCGTGATATTCTTAAGAAGATAAACGAGGAGAAAAGCGTCATCGACTACCTCAAGATCGACGTCGAGGGCTTCGAGATTGACTTCTTTCGCAACGTCCTAAACGACGACGTCGAACTCCTGGCCAACGTCAAGCAGATCGGAATGGAAATCCACCCAGGTGACGGATCCCTGCTAACATCCACAGAGATCAAATTGCAAAAATTTAGATCGATATCAAGTATTAATGGAATTTTAAATCTGAATGACATTTGTAGGTATATTTAAAGATCGTCTGCTTGTGATAAATTTATATTAGAATTTAAGTAACTCCACACGACTGATTTAAATAAATAATTGACTGTTTTGTGCAGGGAGGTCGACGACGAACAGAGACAAGATCTGGAGCCAAATTCGGCAGCTGCGCAGTCTGCATTTTTCGCAGGTCTCCAGTCTACCGAACGTGGTTGCTGGCAATTCTTACAAATTCGAGAACAAAACTGTTTCTCAATGTTATGAAATTCTTTGGGTTAATGAACAATTCCAAGGGAATTGAGTTCCCTTTTTCGTAACTTCTGCTTGAAAGAAACGTGCGATGCATTTTTTTGCCTTTTTCCAATAATAGTTCAAATAATGTTCAACATAACTCATAAGCAAAGAAAACTCCACAAAAACTCATACTATTTTTAAAGAAAACGTTTCGGAGTCCAGCTTCATCGTCAGTTTAAAAATTCTAGAACACTGATAAATCAGTAATTAGTATAGTAAAGATTAAAAAAAAACTTGAAGGGTAAATCCTAACTATTTACATTTTTAGAGGGTGGGAGATAAAAGTTAAATTTAAACCAGGCCTGTGTTTAAATATATACCATGATTCTAAAATGCGCAAATCACAAACACCGGAAGTGTAAAGTAAAACCTTGAAATTACTATCAGAAGTTGGAACATCGGTAATAATCTCTTTTTACATCACTTCTCTTTAACTTCACTTCTTGTTGTTTGTTTGTTTGTCTGTTTGCTACAAATCTTATAATCAATATTTTACACAATTCTACCTCTTCAATAGATCTGAAATTTTGCACGCATGTGTAAAGTTAAAGACAATACATGAATCAGTTGACAGAACAAATAATTTTGAACATTTATTTTTTTAACTTTAAACTAAATTGAATAAACAATTTTGTCTGCTACAAATCTTATGATCGATATTCAAGACACTTCTACCTATCCAATCGATCTGAAGTTTTGCACCCTTGAGTAAAGTCGGAGACAATACATTAATCGAGGGACCGAATAAATAATTTAGAAAATTTAATTTTTATGCATTAAAAAGTTTTAACAATTATCTTTTTATATATTAAAAAATTTTTTAAATTATTTTAAATATATTCAAAAATTTTTTTAATAATTGAAAATAAAATCGGAAATTCATTGTACTTGTGTAACATCGGAGACACTGCGGATTCCTTGGAAGTGTTGTCTTTAAAAAGAAATTTTCAAACGCATATTTTACAACACTTCTCTTTAACTTCCCTTCTTGTTGTTTGTCTGTCTGCAACAAGTCTTATAATCGATATTTAATACACTTCTACCTCTCCAATCGATCTGAAATTTTGCACACTCTCGTAAAATCGGAGACAATGCATGAATAAATTTTCACAATAAATTATTTAAAAAATTTAATTTTTATGATATTAAAAAATTTAAAAATCAAATTTTTATTATATGAAAATAAAATTAGAAATTCATTGTGCATGTTTTCCATCAAAGACACCGGATTCTCTTGAAATCTTGTCGTTAAAAAGTAATTTTTAAACGCATATTTTTTCATAATTGCTGAAAAGTTTTACCGACAAATTGATGGTTTGGGCATGACTCTTCCGCTCGGCATAACCTTTGCAAATATTTTTATGTGTTTACACGAGGTTTCTTGGCTGTCCAATTGCCCTCTTGATTTCAAGCCAATATTCTACTACAGTTACGTTAGTGGCACTTTTTTAATTTTTAAGCATCCCTCTCACGTTAAACTCTTCTTAGATTACCTAAATTCGCTACATAAATTAGTGAAATTTTATTCTACTTACCATATTCTGCACGCTGAATTCGAATTTTTACGCAATATCATTGCGCTTATTTGATTACCGACTATCTGGTGTTTACCCAAATAATGACATTCATGTCCAAGCGGTACAATGAGGTTGCTTCCGAGCCCGACTGTAGGAATGTTTTTTATTGCTCTCTTCCATACTTCGGTCCTGCATCCGAAACTGTGTCAATGGAGCTAAAACTTTGTTTTTAAAGTATTGCGCAAATGTTAATCTTCTTGTTATATTGGTCAACAATTATAAAATCGGTTATGTTTTAGATACAAAGGTACCTTCCCTAAGCATATGCGAGCGTCCCTAGTTAATAAATATAGTTGTGCACGATGTGCATCTGCGTACGTCGGGATGACGTCTCGCAATCTTCATTCTAGGGTCACGGAACATAGTAGCAAGAGTTGTAGAACAGATCACTTACTATCGCGCTCCACCTCATTCGGCTGTGAGTGCTCACGCCGAGCAGTGCGATGTTCCAATTTCTGATAGTGACTTCAAGGATTTAGCTTCCACTTCCGGTGTTCCTGATTTGCGTATTTTAGAATCATTTCATATTTTCAAACATAGGCCTTGTTTAAATTCAACTATTAGCTCATACCCGCTGGAAATTGTAAATAGATAGGATTTACCGCGTAGTTTTTTTGTAATCTTGACTGTACTAATTACTGATTTTTCTGTGTTCTATAATTTTCAAACTGACGATGGAGCTGGACTCCGAAATGTTTTCTTTAAAGATAGTATGAATTTTTGTGGAGTTTTCTTTGCTCTTAAGTTTTTAGTGAATTTGCGATTCAAGCAAAGGAATGGCATTATGTATAACATATATTTGTTACAACTAGGTTTTTTGTGCTACTGCAATGAATTATTTTGACAATTTTGTGTCACGCTATGTTGCCATTTGTTTTCTCGTTACTAATTGCTTCTTAAAGCCATAGAGATAATTAAGAGTCGTATAGAAATTACAAAAACTTATGAAATTCCTAAACTGAATTTGGTCTTCCCGTGTTGTAGGTGTTCACACTGCACGAAACTAAAAAATGATGTCGTTTAAAGTTATTTAGTACATATGCAAATATCGTTACCGTAGCTACCAAGTTATTCTAAAATATCATTGGCATCGTGAATCACAGTTTATTTTTTTAATTCTACATTTTACGTAGGTCTTCATGTTGATTTTTAATTTTAATGCAAAAAATATAGGTTTGCACAGATTTCTCACCTGAATTGCGTAATAAAGTAATGCTAACTAAAATTGAAGCAATTTTTGTACATATCCCATCAACTGTTTCAGGCTGCTCCCCTCTAAAGATAATGACTAGGAGCAGCTTGCTCTAAGTCAGACAGGGAACGATAATGACTAGGAGCAGCTTGCTCTAAGTCAGACAGGGAACGATAATGACTAAGAGCAGCTTGCTCTAAGTCAGACAGGGAAAGATAATGACTAGGAGCAGCTTGCTCTAAGTCAGACAGGAAAAGATAATGACTAGGAGCAGCTTGCGCTAAGTCAGACAGGGAAAGATAATGACTAGGAGCAGCTTGCTCTAAGTCAGAAAGGAGAAAGATAATGACTAGGAACAACTTGCTCTAAGTCAGCCAGGGAAAAATAATGACTAGGAGCAGCCTGCTCTTAGTCAGAAAGGAGAAAGGTAATGACTAGGAACAGCTTGCTCTAAGTCAGACAGGGAAAGATAATGACTAGGAGCAGCCTGCTCTTAGTCAGAAAGGAGAAAGATAATGTAATTATTGGGAGCAGCCTGCCAGACTGTAGCAAATCACGTTTGAAATCCTTGCCAATACTGAGGCAGTTGACATAAAAACTATAATCAAATTTATGATCTTTATCACGTGCGTCTATAATCAATCTTCTGAATTAAATAGATTCCAAGATCTTGATTATTGGTCTCCTATAAATTAATAAATAATTAATAAATTATGTTACTCATTATTTCCATCGCATTAGCCGTACTTCTAGACTATATATGCTTCTCTCTAATACAACTTTCTTTTGCAGGATGAATTCACGCGTGTGATTCGAGTCAATATATTTCAGTCATATAAAAAACTGAATGTCTCCGTGTCTCTGGTATCTGACTATATCTTTTGTCAGGAATATTTGGTTTGCGATCTATGCACTTGAATGCAGAGGCCGATGTTCGGGTTGGTCTACGGGTTATTTTATTGTCAGAAAACCAGATAAGTTATCAGCTCTTATTATTATTATTATTATTAAAATTAATATTATTATTATTATTATTAATTTTATTATTATTATTATTATTATTATTATTATTATTATTATTATTATTAATATAGACTTATTTGTTGTAGTTTACCTCCAGACACCGTACCACCGGTTTATTGGTAAATAATTTCGCCGGATCTAAAAAAATATTAAATATCCTCGCAAATTTCATGGAAATTCAAGCAGAATAATTTTTCTGATTATTTTGGTGATCAAAAATACATTAACCAGTACAGTAGAATAATTTCTTTTCGGCTAATGAAATTGGCAGGGATTTAGGTAAAAGATTTTCTAACTTAATATTCGATGACGATAACTTTTCGATGTAATTTGCCGCGTTAATTCAATGGTTATTTAATGTCGAAAATTATATTTATTGCATGCGGTGCAATTGTTTGCATCACCATAATTTGAATTTCATATTTTACCTCTACCAAACGACGAAAATATTTCGTGGTTAGGATATTTTCTCAATGAAGATGAATTAGGCACGTTATCCTGTTCTCGTAAAGACAGAAGTGAGACAAATTTATTCACTTCGCGGAAACAATCCTTCACTCAATTATAGCACATATGGAAGGCATACCTAACGCAAGACAGCACAGAACAATTGTGAAAACTTCATCACAATTCTACTAATGGATGTTGGACAATGTGCCTGCATTTGAGACATCTGTTGAATTAGCGATATAGAAAGGGAAGATATTCTTTAAATTTTTGCATTTGAATGAGCATCTTGGTTTTAATATTAAAATAATTCTCTTGTGACCGAAGAACGTTTCGTGCCGGGTGAGATGAAAATGCCCGATGCGGCTTCATATAACCTGAAATTTTACACCATCGTCATCAGCGACACAGCCTCCGGCTCCGGCATAATAATGATCATATAATTTGAATATCTTGAGAAGCTGTAACGAAACATCGGAGTAATTAAAAATGGTATATCTATAAAAATAAACTCAAAATATTATATCACTTATAAAAAGGCTGAGATTGATGAACGGTGGGAGATTTTCTTAGTGTGTGTCTGGGAAAAGTGAAGAAAAAAGGAATTGCACCTGTCATCAAGCGCGGCGTTCATGCCAGAGTACTCCTCCTGTGCCCATACTTTCAAAAAAGTTTTAAGAGATCGTAAGTTCATCAGCCAATCATTAACGGCCTTTCAAGCCAAATCCACCACTCATAGACAAGAAAATAGAGCGTAAGAACTTACGTTCACTTAGCGAGTTTTGAAAGTATGGCTGGTGATCGGTGCGGTGAGTGTGGTCACTCTGGCGC